AGGGGCTGGGGAAACACTTCCTAATCAAACACAGTCATGTTTATGAAGCAGAATTCATGTATATTCAAACCAAATGGGATAGTTAAGACTATAAAAAGCTTCATGTCAGGTGAGGTTTTGCCAAATACATTTTGCACCAAATTTATCAAAAACTTGTTGACCGTGTGACCTGGCCATGAGTGTCCACCAAAGGCCCCACCATTTGTGCCTCTGCTTACAGAGGTGCGGGATTTAGAACGCGCCCAGACATCCCCAAATCCTTCACGGAGCCCGTAAGACCCCTCATGGTCTGTCCCTTTACCTGGCACCAAGCTCACTCTAGGCTCCCTTCAACCCCAGTTCTTCCTCCACTTTCTCTAGGTTGACCTCCCTGTAGCCCCAGGGCATTTGGGGGGGGGGCAGTGAGGAATATCTTAATTTCAGTTGTTCTTAAACACTTCTCTCTGTGCATTACCAAATGGGTGTAACTTCCATTCACTGATAGAACCCTGTTCTCAAAGCAGCTTGCACTAACATTCTCTTTTATTAAATTGAGATATAATTGACCCAAAGGTATTTGAATAAAGCTGGTCTGGAGTCCAGCAAAGCTCTGGCCCTGCCATCAATCTCCTTCCTTACGTCTTCCTCTTCTTTCAGATCTCACACATCCCCCCTGGCCTCATAATCCAATTTCAAGGTTCAGAATCACACACACACACCCCTCCCTTGTAAAACTTAATCACTGTTGTGATTTTCTTAGAGATCGAGATCTGCCTTCCACACTAACCACCAAAAGAGGAGGCCTGTATCCTGTTTTCTTATGATCTTTAAGCATCCAGTTCAGGGCCTGGCACCTAATAGAAATATTTGTTGAATTAGATTTCTGGTGCTCCCTTACAAGCTCTGTGGCCTTGGATCAACTACTTAACCTCTCTGAGCTTTAGTCAGCCCGCTGTATTTAGGCAGATTGGCTAGATTAAGATCAAGGCCATACAGGGCCTGAGATATACAGCCCAATATAGCTCTCCTCGTGATAACCATTTAGGACAGTTTCTGTTACTATTTGCATTTTTTTTTTTTTTGAGGAGATTAGCCATGAGCTAATGTCTGTTGCCAATCCTCCTTTTTTTTTTTTTTTTGCTGAAGAAGACTGGTCCTGGGTTAACACCTGTGCCTAGCTTCCTCTACTTTTATGGGATGCTGCCACAGCATGGCTTGATAAGTTGTGCATTGGTCCTTGCCTGGGAGGCAAACCTGCGATCCCTGGGCTACCGAAGTGGAGCACATGAACTTAACTGCAGTGGCCCTGCATTTGTCTTTTTAAGAAACAAATTCTAATCCAGACATCATGAAGATATTCCTCTATTTTAGCTCCTAAATGCATTATAGTATATATCCTTTCATTTGAGGCTTTTACAGAGCCTGGGATGATTTTTGTATGAATCCGATTTCCTGGACCCCTTTCCCCCATTAACTAATTGGGATTTAATTGGGGAAAATTGACATCTTTATAACAGTCTTCTTAATGTTTTATATGGTATTTCCTCTCATTTATCTTGTCCTTTTAAAATTTCTCTCTAGAAAGCTTTATAAACATCTGTGTAGAAGACATGCATATTTTTGTCAGATTTCTTCCTAGGTGTATGATATTTTTTGGTTCTATTATAAATGGCATATTTCTTTAAATTTCATTTTCTGATTGATGCTCGTATACAGAAATGCACTTGAATTTTGCATATTAATCTTGTATGTAGCAACCTTGCAAAATTTATCTGTTTAAATAATTCATCTGTAAACTATTTTGGATTTTCTATGTAAAAAATCATATCATCTGATAATAACAAAAATTTTGTTTTTCTTTCCAATCTTTATTTGTTCCTTCTCTTGCCTCATTGTTCTGGTTAGGAACACCAATACAATGTTAAATAGGTGACAGCAATACTTGTCTCATGTCCATTCTCAGAGAGAAAACTATCAGAATCTTATCAATGCTGTAGGTTTTTAGTAGACATCCTTCAGTAGATTAAGGAAGTTCCCTTCTTTGGCTAATTTGCTAAATATTTGTTTTTTTCTTATCATGACTCCATGTATTAATCTGGTTTAAGGCTGACTTAACAAAACACCACATACTAGGTGGCTTAAACAAAAGAAATTTATTTTTCACAGTTCTGGAGGGTAGAAGTCTGAGATGAAGGTGTTGGCAGGTTTTGTTTCTCCTGAGGCCTCCTCAGCTTGCAGAGGACCTGTGTCCTCACATGGCCTTTTCTCTGTGCATGCACGTCCCTGCTGTCTCCCTTCTTTTGAGGACACCAGTTATATTGAATTAGGGCCCAACACAGTGCTAAACGAGTGATGGCAAGAATCCTTCTCGCATTTCTATTCTCAGAGAACAGTCAGAGAATTTTACTACTGCTGTGGGTTTTGGGTAGATATCCACTAAAAGATTAAGGAAATTACCTTTTCTTAACTTGCTAAATTTGTTGTTGTTTTTTTTTTTTGGTGAGGAAGATCAGCCCTGAGCTAACATCCATGCCAATCCTCCCCTTTTTGCTGAGGAAGACTGGCCCTGGGCTAACATCCGTGCCCATCTTCCTCCACTTTATGTGGGATGCCGCCACAGCGTGGCCTGATAAGCAGTGCGTTGGTCTGCGCCTGGGATCTGAACCCGGGCCACCAGCAGCGGAGCATGCACACTTAACTGCTACGCCATGGGGCTGGCCCCTGCTAAATTTGTTTTTTCCTTAAAAAATCACTGACTAGTCATATTGGATTTGGCTCCACCCTCATGACTTCATTCAACCTTAATTCCCTTCTCCAAGGCCCTACCTCCAAATACAGTCACACTGGGAGTCGGGCTTCAGCACATGCATTTGGGCTTCAGCTCAATGTGGGACACATTGAGTCTGTTAACTATGGATGATGAAATTTATCAAGTGCTTTTTTTGCATCTATTGAGATAATCATATACTTTTTCATTTATTCTATTAGTAAAATAAATTGATTATTCAGCTAGGTGTGTTATTGGTCTCTGGCTTTTATGTACACTTTCTTGGTTGTGAAGATGTGCTTATGTGGTAAACCTGTCAAGGAAATCAAGGGAATTATTATCAAATCAAGATAGTAGATGCCTCAATGATGAGGAAAAGGAGGGTGATGTGGTGTAGAGTCGTCCACAGGGGCCTCTGAACTACTGTGTAATGTTTCATTTCTCAATTAGGGTGGTTTATACATGGACATTCATTTTATTTTTCTCTTTTAAATTGTATCTATGTTTTAATCCACTTTTATATGTATGCTTCTTTTCATAACAAAACAAAAATAATAGTTTACCCACACTTGAAACTGAAATAAGCATGTATGTAAATCAAATAGAATAGAAATACATTTAAATGTTGGAACCAGGGAGAGAAAAGTGGCGGCCAGTTTAACCCTGTGAAGATGTGGAGATAGAAATCTCCCCAACAGTGGGGAGCAAAAGTGCTTAAAGTGTTCAAAATCAAAAATATAAAAATTATTAGGCCTCCAAAATCAGAAAACCAAGGAAAAGTGTTACTTATACAAGAAAAAAAGACTGATCTTTTTCTAGATCAGTTGTGTCCCAGGCACAGGATTAATCCTCTCACCTAATGTTCATAATTACTTGACATAGTAGACATAGTTTCAAATTTCAGGTGAGAGTTGTTTGAGGAGACACCATGGGTAATCAGCAAAACCTGAATCCTTCATAATGGGCAGGAAATCTGCCTGACCTTTGCCTTGGAGGGAGACATTATCTTCATTATACTGGACAGTAAACAAACCTGCCCTTCGCTCTGCATGGAGACACCATTTCTGTCTTCCAAGACTGTTCCCCATAGAAACATCCTTGAAAACATTGTCTGGAGCAGTCAGTGCCTCGCTCCCAACACACGAAAATGTGAGAGACCCACTGAGGGTTGTCTCCCTACAAGTGTCTTCTCTTCCCTGGAATGTTTAAGGTACTGATGAAACAGGTATAGGAATTACGTAAAAGTTCACAAATTTATTGAAGTTGTGAAATTACAATGTTATACACTCCAGTGTTAGAATTCTTGAAACATTTTGTAGTTAATCCCCTCATCTTGATTAGTTTCCATGCCTCTATTGCTATTGGAACAAAATTAAAAAAAAAAAACAAAATGAGAAAAACTGTCTTCATGCGTTTAAGTCGAACTGACACTGGCTCAAGACAAGGTTGACATAAGGGAAGCCATACTATAGAAAAGAAGCCCTATTGTAACTTTGAATGACCTCTGACAAACTAACCCAGCTGGATATGCACCCCCCAGGAGATCTACCTGCTCTGTAGATTTTATGACCCCTGCTTGTGCATGTACCTCCCAGCTGCGATAAGATGATAACTTTGTTTTTTTGAGTTCCTTAGGAATGTGATGACCCCCAAACAGAGTATCTATGCTGATAGCCATCATCAGTGAAAACTGAAAGATCTGGTATGGAACTCCCAGTCTGTAACAGCAGAAGGTCAACATTCCTAACCCCCTCCCCAATAACCCAATGGCCTATATAACTGCTGTGAGATTTTGTGCCCTGTCAAGATGGTTCTTTTGGACATGAGTCAGCCCTCTTGCTAGAAAGCTGTAATAAAAAAGTCCAGGGCCGGCCCTGTGGCTTAGCGGTTAAGTGCGCGCGCTCCACTGCTGGCGGCCCAGGTTTGATCCCGGGCGTGCACCGACGCACCGCTTCTCCGGCCATGCTGAGGCCGCGTCCCACATACAGCAACTAGAAGGATGTGCACCTATGACATACAACTATCTACTGGGGCTTTGGGGTGGGGGAAATTATTAAAAAGTCCTTTCTCTCCTACCACCTTGCCTCTTGACTACTGGCATGTCTTGCAGCAAGCAGAAGGCCCCACGTTGTTACCCCACGCGGTAACAAAATGAGCATTAAAAAAATTTTTGTTGGTGCTACATTTATTGACAGTTGTGCAATATTTGACCTACTCCATAAATTACAGCAGGAAAATGAAGCAAAGTCACAGTTCACGCTTCATAATCTCTTACCGCACAGACTGTCAGAGGTTTAGAGTCCCGTCTGATATAGAAGTAAGGCTTTAGGACTTCAGAAAATTTATCCGTGAAAGAATGGATGTGAGACCTGTCATTCAAACTGTAAAATGAAATGTTACCCAACTCATAGTCCAGATAAATGCCAACACCTCTAGGCTTTTCCTTCAGCACAAGAGTGACAGTCACGGCACCTTGTGCGACAAAGTCACCATTCTGCAGATGAATTGTCCAGCGTCTGCTCTGTCCTGACCGGGGCCGTTTTCCCTTCCTGGAAAGGGAGTCTCTACAAACCCCCACGGCCCACTCAGGCTTGTCACCCACCTGGACCTCCCAGTAATGTCGGCCGTAATGGAACCCTTCAGAACCCAGGACCACTGGATCAACCATAAATCTCTTTGGATTGCGAGGAACTCTTTGCTTTTTCCTCGCAAATGTCACAGACTTTTTATCCTCAGAGACAAGCAGATTAGGATGTGCTGTTTCAGGATCCAGAGTAACTTCTTCTTTAAATTTCTGTATAATTTTCTGCAGAGCTGAATACTGCGGAGGAAGGCTGCATCCTTCTCTCCTTAGCTGGATTGAATAGACAGCCGGGGTTTTCAGGCTGTCACACCTGTGGAGGAGGCTCTGGATATCTGTCAGCAGCCTCACCTCCGACATCACACACCTCTCTGCCACCTCCTTCAGTAGGCCTTTGAGGGTGGAAACGTGCTGTGAAAAGGCCGCTATGTTTGCGCTGAGTTTCTGTTGAATGTCCCTCTCTTCCTCGGCCAGCCTTGACAGAACTGCCTCTTGCTCACGTTCTACACACTGGTTCAGCTGCTCAAATTCAGAGGCTAATTTCCTTCTCTGATTTTGCACCTTCTCTCTCAGTTCTAAGGGTTTTTTGCTTTGAATGCTTATTAATTTCTGAACGTCTGCCACCTGCGTCTTCAGGGACTCGATGTAACTGCTGAGTCTCTGCCTGTGATGAGAGGCGGCTTCCTCCAGGGGCCTCACCTGGTGGCCCTGGTGGTCAGGGGGCTGAGTGCACAGGGGACACAGCACCTCTAGGTCCTCCTCACAGAAGAGGGTCAGGAGCTGGTTGTGCTTCTCACACAAGCGCCTGTCTTCCTGCCTCTTCTTCTTGCTCCTGGTGATGTGGAGGAGCTTGGTGATGTCAATCATCCTTCCCAGCTGGATGTTGCTCCTGAAGTGCCTCTGTTGGCATGGGTGACGGCAGACAGGGCAAGGGAACATGTCCCATAGATCTTCCCAGGACTGTTGGATGCAAGATCGACAGAAGTTGTGGCCACATTCGATGGTGACAGGGTCTCTCAGATAATCCAGACAGATGGGACAGTTGGCTTCTGCCTGGAGTCCTGCCAGGGCTGTTTCAACCGCCATTGTGCTGTGAATGAAGGACTAGACTGAGGTGGGTTTTCTTCAGGAGATTGGGCTCTGGCTCTGCAGGATCTCTCCACTGACCAGACACCCCCTCAGACCTCACCGTCCTTCCTGTCCTGAATGTTTTGTTCCTATGAGGCTACTGGCCTCAGGTGCATAGGTCCATGCCCAGAGGAGCTCCACTCACCACCTCCAGCCAATCAGGTAGTTGAATCCAGCCTCCCCAATTCTCTTGGTCAGAAAGCAGACATGACTCTAAAGTGCTTATTCATTCCTGGGGATGAGAAAATATTGTTTCATGTAAAAAAGGCTACCATATGTCTTGTGGCCCTGCTCACTGCCACATTTGAAGCAACCATTGATTCTTCTATTTACCACCACAATCCACCTAAACTCAAGTCAACTACAAGGGCGCTGCATGGGACTGGGGAAAGTGTATAGATGTGGGACTAGATCCCCTGGCCCTGAGTCAGCCTCCCGCTTTAGTTACCTACAATCTGGGGGACCCAGGGAAAGTTACATAACATCCTCGTCTCCAAGAGAATCAGGTAAGCAAGTTTAAAAATACCAACTTCAATCATTTCAGTCTTGTGAAAAACCTAAGAAGGATTTGGCACTATTTGGCTTATACCACAGATATTTAACTGTAGGATGTGTCCAACTGTGTACATAGGTGGATGGGATGTGGACTAGATTAGATTTACTCTGAGGACCCTCCTACTCAGAAAACTGATTTTCACATGCTGTATGGAAAGAAATTGGAGATCAGGATTTCAATGTGAGATGAAGCTGAAAAATACACACTCATACAACTACTCTTTGAAGTCATTGGTGAGCTATACACTGGTTACAATTTGTGGGGACAAGACCCTAAGAAGAAGGACTACAGCTTTTCCTTAGAAGCAGTTGCTGATCCAACTGGAAGCTGAACAGCTGAGAAAGTGAGTAGAGCTTTCAGCTGACTTTGAGGGTTGAGAGAACAAACCTGGAGTACAGGGCACCCCACAGAGGATGGTTCCCGGTAAGCACCCCAAACTTTAATTTGGGATCACTACAGTGCTACACACTAGAAGGGAGCATCAAAAATGGGCAATCTCAGTTTGAGTGCCAGAGACCCCAAAATGAATTTCAAAGTGCTAAAATATCAAAGTCCTTAACACCCCACTCTCATCAATGGACAGATCATCCAGACAGAAAATAAATAAAGAAATAATGGACCTAAACAAAAAACTAGATGAGATGGACTTAATAGACATATATAGAACACTCCATCCAAACACAGCACATTACACATTCTTCTCAAGCACACATGGAACATTCTCAAGAATAGGCCATATATTGGGAAACAAGGCATGCTTATATAAATTTAAGAAGATTGAAATCATAACAAGCATCTTTTCAGACCATAATTCCATGAAGTTAGAAATCAACTACAGGGAAAAAATCGGGAAAGTGACAAAGCTGTGGAGACTCAACAACATGCTACTAAACAACTAATGGATCATTGATGAAATTAAAGGAGAAATCAAAGCATATCTGGAGACAAATGAAAATGAAAATACACTGTACCAACTCCTATGGGATGCAGCAAAAGTGGTCCTGAGAGGGAAACTCATAGCAATAGGGGCCCACCTTAACAAACAAGAAAAAGCCCAAATAAGCAACCTCAAACTATGCCTAACAGAATTAGAAAAAGAACAAACAAAGCCTAAAGTCAGCAGAAGGAGGGAAATAACAAAAATCAGAGCAGAAATAAATGAAATTGAAATTAAAAAAACAGTAGAAATGAGCAATGAAACAAAGAGCTGGTTCTTTGAGAAGATAAACAAAATTGACAAACCCCTAGCCAGACTCACCAAGAAAAAAAGAGAGAAGGTGCAAATAAATAAAATTAGAAATGAAAAAGGAGA